TAGTTCAATATGATACCATATTTTTCTCTTACTGGTACTTCTTTAGATATCCTAAGGCTTCTCATTGATCCTGCCCTGTCGAGTGTTGGAAATGGGTCAGTATTGGGAACAGAAAACTAATAAGTAACGTCTGTTTATGTTACAGAACCCAGAAAGAACAAGTTCATTGAGAAAAAGCACATGAAACCTTGATATTCCTTGAACAATCCCTCTCACACAGACTTTAGGGATCATGAAAAGTGGCAGCCTCTCCCAACACCTTTTCCCTTTGGAAAATGGACATTCATCACTGTTAATTATCAAATGGAAAAGGAAATGTTTCAGCAAATCCCTTGGCTCCCAAAGCCAGAGAAATCATTGCAACTACAGGTCAGAAGTTTGTGGTTCTGAAGGGAGGTGAGGTCATGGAGCTATGATCCTTTATCTTAGGGTTCAGCTGCCTCCTTCTTCCATGGTGCTGGCTGTAATGTCAGGAGCTGCAGGCTGAATTGATGGTTTGCAGAGGGAATGAGTCAAGTGTTCATTTTGTACCTCAGTCTGGAAAGCAGAGGAAACACAGATGGGAAATCTGGTAAGCACTCATGTCTGGAAATATATTCTAGGTAGTCACAGAACATTGTGAATTCTATCAAAGTAAGAGGAAGGGTTTCTGGGATAGGAACAAAATTACTGAGGCCAACAGCTTCACTGAAATTGTGCTAATCCCTGATGTATAAAAATGATGTAACAAAATCCCTGCCAGACTATTGATGAATCATTTCAGTGATAACGAATCTGACTCAAAGGTGATGAAGGATGGCAGTGATTATGCTTTTCCTACTTCTAACTCTTTATATTATACATTGACCATATAATAACTTTTCAAGTGACAGGCATAGATGCTGGCATAAAAGATTAAAGGGCATGATAAAAATTATCAAAATCATCTCACCCTGGTGAGGAACTGTGATCTGGATCTGCCTCCGGGTGAGACACATTTCCAGGCAGCACTCCATCTGTGATGGCTCAGGAGCTGGGTGTGTCCTGACACTCAGCAGTAATGACCATCGAGACTGCTTTATTTTTTGAACTTGGGAACTCGATACTGAAGGAAAAGTGACACTGTAATTGTGAATCTTGGATGACACTCATCTCCAGATCCATCGAATCCATCTTCCGGTATTTATTCTATTATAGTGATACTTGAATGGTATGACAATCCTGAGTTTCAGTTTTTAATATGACAGCTGACATTATCAAAAACCGTACTTTGGGCACAGAAGGCATAGAACTGACCAAAGGAATGTCTCCACAGTTCAAATTTTCTTGTTCTTTTAAAGTTACAAAATGCATATTTTATGTTCCTGTGTTTTATCTAAATATATTTTGAAGTTAAATGTGATTTACATATTGGATTTATTGCTACGAGTTTGATAAACTTAGCTTATCAAAGTAATACTTAAATTGAAATTGATGAGAATTTAATGTTCTTATCTGAGTGTGTATGTTGTGCATTTGCATGTATATATATGTGCATATGGCACTGTGCATGCGTGTGTGTGTGTGTGTGTGTGTGTGTGTGTGTGCATGTGTATGTGCAGTTATTCATGAGTTCAGAAGAACTATCAATTGAGTGTGCAGTTAGTCTTCCTTAGATAAAATACCCTGATTTCTTTTTGAAAGATGGTGTCTTAACTGCCTTATCTCTCAGCAGGCTAGACTAGCTAATCAGGGATCCCCAACAATTCTCCCATCTCTACTTCTCTGGAGCTTATAATACAAGTAGAGCTTATAATACACCAGTTATGATTTTTACATGAGGTGTGGGGATTGAACACAGGGTCTCCTACCTATACCACAAACAGTTTACCACCAGAGCTCTTTGTCCACCATGGTAATGACTGAAATTCTATCCACAATATTGTTTCATACATTAGCTTTCATTCTTCACAGATGATTAGGAGACTTGAAAAAGGATCACAAAAGCAATTCTGTTCAATTTTTCATTTCAGATATATTCTATTGTTTTACTATCAGCAATCGTATAAACATGTTCCTTGCAAAAACACATATTGGGTATCTTTTGCTTTTGCGACATCCAACTTGGACACAGGCAGTTTATGTAAGAATAAATTACATTTTTAGTGTGATATAATTTAGGTAGAATAGAAATAAAACTTATAGCAGTATAAGATTTAAATATGCGGCACTTGATTAAAAACTTTAGGTGACTATGAGTGGAAACAGCCAGGCCATGTTCTCATTTTTCAAGTTTCCAAACTCCTCAGAATGACCTCTTTTCTTTAGCAATCATCTATAAGAATTTATCTCAGGATTTGTGTTGGCAGTGAAGGAAACAATATTGTCCTCGTCAGACCTCTATAGAAATCACTGTATGAGGCAGAGGAACAGTATTGTAACAGTGATTGATACATTGTCACCTCTGTTTGCAGTTTTCAGTCTAGCTTCATGAAGCCTCAATGCAGTTAAATTTTGAGTGGGTACTGCTCTTTGATTGTTTTTTTGTTTGTTTTGTTTTTTTGGGGGGGGGAGGAGTGTTTTCGAGACAGGGTTTCTCTGTATTGTTTTGGAGCCTTCCTGGATCTCACTTGGTAGATCAGGCCGGCCTTGAACTCACAGAGATCCACCTGCCTCTGCTTCAAAGTGCTGGGATTAAAGGCATGCGCCACCAACGCCCAGAGGTACTGCTCTTTGAAAAAAAATTGATTTCAGGTGATGAAATAAGCGTGAGCACAATGCATTCACACATCTGTAAAATTTCATGGCTATGAAGATAAATGGCCATCACTGGAAACGGTCAGGGTATCAGCAGATATTGCAAAGTAGAGATACTGCACAACTGTCTGGATGATAAGTTTCTCCAGAGTTTTCTGTCTTCTTCCCTTCTGATTTGTCCTGTGCACTGAAAGACCACTCAGGCTCTTATACATTATTCTTAAACATGGTGTTTGGAGATATTTTGTGACTTTGACTTTGTTCTGCCCTGACAGATCTTCCATCTTAAAACACCATTCGCAGCCAGCATGTCCAACACCTCAGTAAACCAAGTCCTGCAGGTGAATGGAATTTAAGATGTTGCCCAGTGTACTGTATTTTTTAAACTCTTCTCTGCAAGGCTCTGTGTATTCTCAAAATGGCATTCTATATGATTTTCTTATCTAAAATAGCATATACCACAATAAGATTAAGGATATTGTTCCAATGCAGGTCATGATGAAATTGCAATAATCATCAATTAATATTCATAAGTGGTTTGCTTGGATCATGATATTGACCTGTAGCTCTATGACTCTCATAAAGTAGAGGTCATATTTCATATGAATCATATTTAAGCAACACTTACAACAAAGTCACTTTCTGCCTTTGTGAAAGTTATATAGACTTTTTTCTACAAAAGAAAGTAATTAGAACAGATAATGCCCAGTACACTGAAATTTACAAATAAAAATCCACTTAGTATATAACATATATATATATAAAGAAAAAGATTCTTGGATGAATATAGAAATCCCAGGAATCCACTGGCCAAGGAAGGAGTTGCCAGAAGTGTCAGGCCAGTCTAGATTACAGAGTGAACCCCTGTTTGAACTATTTGCTTTATGAAATAGAATTAACACAGTGACAACTATGTTTGTTACACTTTTAGCCACTACATCAGGCATACACCCTTTTGGGATCTTAGTTGGATAGGACTTTGGGAACATGGGTTCATATCTGTATTAACCTGTGAGACACTGGATTATTGCTAACTTTTATTGAGATTTGCCTCAAGGGACATATGATTATGAACTATTATATTTCTTATGCATTTGGTATTTGTTAATGCATTCCCTACTTATTTATACAGCTACAGAGGACAGCACTGTGAAGATCAGCAGCAGAAGTATATTCCTTTTGTTTGTTGTTTGCTTTGATTCAGGATATCACTATGTAATTCTCGCTGTCCTGAAATTTACTAAGTATACTAGCCTGGCCTTGAACCCACAGTGCCCTGCCTAGTTTCCCTCCTGCGTAGAAGCAGGAAATGCATGTGCTGCCATGTCTAACTGAGGGAGTGAATTCTTAAAGAATGCATTGGGAGGTCCTTAAGTGGAAGCTAATTATTGCACACATATTTTAAAAGTTTTCTTTGAAGACATTTCCTCAGGAGTGAAATTGTGAACAAATAGATGAACACCTACTCCAGTTAAACATTTGAGGCAACTGGAATACTATTGACATGGTATTACATATCTATCTTATCCCTATTCTTACTAAGAGCTGGTGTGTCATACCAGATTTACTTTATATTTCTCCTACTGCATTACGACATCTGGCAGTGGATCTATTTAGAATATTCAACATCCTTACCCTATTTATTCCACATTGAATGTGGTTGCTGTACATTTCATATGATTTAGACAAACAGATTGCATATGTTTATTGTCTGACCCACAATACATAGTACATAGTTAATAATGTGTGTGTGAAATTTAATGTGTCGTTTCTCTTAATTTAACATTATCTAGCTCATCATTTGAACCTCATGATTAGAATGTTTTATGCTAATTTATAAATATTTTCTTATATTAGAACATGGGAGTATTCACTTGTTGTGGTAAAATGTACATTGTTTATACTTAAATTTTTGATGAAGACAGCAAGGACTATCACTTTGATGCTGCAGATTGAAGTCTCCTTTTCAGCAACATATTATTTAACAACAATTCATTCTGGAATGTCCAAGTGAACTTTCTTTCCACTTGTACTCATCTGGTTATTGCTTATTCAATAAAGTACAATGTTATTTTTAATCCTGAATATTTTAACAAATGTAGAGATGGATCAGAAACTCGCTCTATAAATATGGACAATTATAGACCAACAATTTGACTGAAAGTTGTTACTGATGGCAAAATATTGTTTTGAGACTGTCTTGTAAATTTATACACTCTTGTTTTACAGTCTTAAACTCAAATGAATATCTTCCACAAGCATAAAAGGACAAAAGTTTTCAATGCATGATTTGGCTCAGAAACATACTGATTGATTTAAAAGAAAAAGTGCTGACTGACAGAATGGAGTCCGGAGACTTGGTTATAGAAATAGTGATCTCACTTCAGAGTGCACTTGGAATTCTGGGAAATGTATCTTTTCTTGTCTACTATCTACTCGTTTACTACAATAAACACACATTAAAGACTGTAGACTTAATTCTTACACATGTGTTCACATCAAATTCCTTAATCATTCTCTCTACAGGCTTGCCTCAGATAATGAGAGCTTTTGAGTGGAAAAGGTTCTTCAATGATGTTGAATGCAAACTTATTTTATATATTCAGAGACTTGGCAGGAGCATGTCCATCACCTCCACCTGCCTCTTGAGTGTCTTCCAGGCCATCACTATCAGTCCTAGTGTATCCTATTATAAAGATTTTCAAATAAAATTCCCAAAATATGTTCACCTCTCCATTTCCTCCCTCTGGATCCTGTATGTGATAGTGAATATGTTTTTCCCCATGTATACATCTACTAAAAGTAATAGCGAAAATAAGACAAAAAAGACATATTTTGAATTTTGTCCAGGTTTCAGTCATGACAAAATAGTAGAGACAATGTATACAGCATTTTGGGTGTTCCCTGAAGTCTTATTTTCTATACTCATTGTATGTTCCAGCATCTCCATGATTGTCATACTCTATGGACACAAGAAAAGGGTTCAGTACATCCTCAGCACTCAGGCCTCCACCAGAATTTCCCCTGAATCCAGAGCCACACAGAACATCCTGGTCTTGGTTTGCACCTTTCTAGCCTTTAATACCATCTCCTCTATTTTACTAGGCTACATAACCCTTTATTTTAATCCCAATTTGTGGCTTAGAAATATCACAACAATTATTTCTATGTGTTTTCCTTCTTTAAGTCCCTTTGTGACGAGTCATGATTCTATTATTTCTGGATTTTGCTTTTCCTTTATAAGGAATATCAAAAGGAAATAATCTTATAATAACTATGTATATTGGACCATTGAAATGTTGTATATATAAAACTTTAGACACTCATGTCCTTAAATATATCAGTGTAATAATTTATCATTCATGATCTTAATTATCATTCTATTTATCAAATATTAATCTAAAAATGCGTTATTTTAACTGTAAGATCATTTCACAGAAGAAGAGTTTTATACTCTCCATTGTAGCTTAAATCCAGTCCAGGGTATCCACAGGTTCTTAGCCATATTAACTATTGTAGTTATTGACTCTTCAATGAATGGCCTTACATGGCATCACAATGTAGTTGGTTACTTATCCCATATTTCTTCTGCTGTTTTATAAGTGAGCCTGTCTTGCCAGGCCAGTCTTTATTTGTATCTCTCTTTACTAATTTCTGGGTGATGTTGATTACTGTTTTCATTGAGTAGAGAGCATAGTAATTTGCAGAAGTAGGTGAGCTAACACAGTGGAGATGAAACTTCCAAGTCAGTATCTGCTGGTTTCCATATTGTATGTCTTACATACTTTACAGTCATAAATTTGGACTTCCAGTTATTTTGTGAAAGCATGTACAAGACATGTTCAAGATAGAAAGCAAACCAGAAGCATGGGGAGGGAAGAGTCAACCATCAGGTTTAATCACTACATTAAGTACATTAAAGTTTCTTTTTTTTGGAAGATAAATCTTTAATTTCATATGAAACATACACACATGAACAAAAAACAGAATAGCTAAAATAGTCATAAATAATAAAAGATTTGTCAACATTTCCTAAAAGAAATGAAGGGTCTATATACATGAAGGGTCACTAATTGCATTTCTTCCTTCTTGGGATCTTCCCCTCTGCAGTCCATGCTTTATATTTACAGAATATTCTTGTCCACCCACAAACAAAATGAACTACTGCTTTACATGTTCATAAATTGTGTATAAAAGGTCGTAAGTTTAAAATCAAGGCCTAGTGTTACAAGTAACTTTTTCAGTAGTCTGATCTTACCCCCCTTTTTTATTATTAATTCAAGCTAGGGAACAGGCTTGTTTCACATGTAAGTCCCCTCTCCCTCCTCTCACCCCCACTCTCCTCCCCCACCTCCAACCTACCGCTCACCCCATCCACCACCACTCCCCAGGCAGGGTAGGGCCCCCAACCGAGGCTCCACAAAGTCCACCAAATCTTCCTGTGCTGGGCCTAGGCCCCTCCCTATGTGTCCAGAGAAAGAGCACATCCCTTCACATGGGATGGGCTCTCAAAGTCCCTCCCCCACACCAGGGAAAAAACACCAGTCCACCTCAGAAGGCTCTCCAGAGTGCAGGGGCCTCCCCATTGGCATCCATGGTCAGGGGGCTGGAACAGTCCCACACTAGCCTCCCAGACAGCGTCTGAGGTCGATATGCTTTCCCTTTTTCAGGCCAACTGTTTCTGTGGGTTTCTCCAACCTGGTACAGACCCCCTCGATCTTCATTCCTCCCTCTCTTCCACTAAATTCCAGATTTCAGCTCAGCATATATCTGTGGAGTCTGTCTCTGCTTCCC